AAAAAAATTGATGATTTGTGATAGTTTTACATATATTGAGATTTGGTGCATAGTTTTTCAAATATATGGTTTAAGGTGTATAAATGCAACAGACTTAAAAAAATTCAATCACGAGGGTAATTAGTTAATAATGATCTTATAAAGCACGGGGAATAAAATGTAACATTACCCAAACTTTCTCAAAACTCCCTCGTTCCTCTCGCGTGACTTGAACACGTATCGTGAGTCGAGGTGTCTCCTGAGTATTCTCTCCGCCCTCATTTGTAAAGAATGACAAATTCCAGAACCAGCAAGATCTCTTCTGTAGAAACGACGAAAACATTATAGAAGAACAGAATTTTTAGAGCAGGCAGAGTTTTGGGTGCTTGCCGATCGACCGCGAGCTTTTGGGCGGTCGACCGGAAACGTACACGCTATAGGGTGGTTTTCTGAAGCTCTGATCGGTCGATCACGGCGTCAAGTGTGGTTAACCGCGAACCCTGTAATGTATTTTTTTTATTTCTGTTTTTCTGATCGGTTGACCGCGATAATTTCGATGGTCGACCGTTAATCGGGTTTGGGCCTGATTACGGTTTCCTGTTCTGTTTAGGATTGTTGTTTGATATAAATAGCAATCACATTTTAGGATTTCTTTAGAGCAGTCAAGGATTTGTTTCGAGCACAGAAAAGAGAGTTTTTTCTGAGCTATTGGTTAGGGTTTTGTTTGAGAGATTGAGAGCTTTGTTTGTGAGATTAATTAGTGAGTTTGAGTTATTTTGCAATCTCAGATTGTACTCTTCTTCTCTATTAGTGAAAACACATCCCCTTCTTGCTCTGTGGACATAGGTAACTTGTCGAACCACGTATAATTCATTTGTTTGTGTTTGTGCTATTATTTTGGCCTTTTGTGTCTTTCTCTCTCGGCATTTGTGTTTGTTCTCGGCAACCCTACATTTGGCCGCCGTGCACAACAAGTGGTATCAGAGTTTCAGACTACGCTTGGAATTAGCTGGAGGAGTAGATCACTTTGGAAGCTCGTCTAGGATTTCAATTGGTGACAAAATGTGGGATTTTTACTATTGTAGATCTTGTCTTCCGTCGTGTGGGGGTGAGATCTTTCGGAGGCTCTTGTTAGGGTTTCAGTTGAAGGTAAAAATCTCTCTTTTTCAGTTTGGATCTATTCTTTAGTTGTTTCACATTGGTTTGTTGGTGCTTTGAGAAAGATGGCCGAGAAAAAAGGAGTTATGGAGGATACTTCTGGCGTGAAGACCGTCCAAAGTTTGAGTATTCACTCTATGAAGATAGATGTGGAGAAATTTAACGGCACTAACAAGTTTGGTCTTTGGAGATGTGAAGTCTTGGATGCACTCAACGTGCAAAATTTGGAAGACACGTTGGAGTTGGACAGTAAGCCGAACGACTTTGAGGAAAGGGTTTGGAAGAAGATGAATCAAATAGCATGAGGTGTGATTAGGTCTTGTCTAACACAAGATTTAAAATATGAAATGATCAATGAGACTTCGGCATAGAAGATTTGGAAGATTCTAAAGAGCAAGTATTTGACAAAGAGTGTGGAAAACCGTTTGTATTTGAAGAGGAGGTTTTACCGCTTCCAATTGAAGAAATGGACCTCCATTGGTGATCACATGAACCACTACATGAAGCTTCTTGCGGATTTGGCAAATGTGGATGATATGATTGAAGATGATGACAAGGTGTTATTGTTGTTGAGTTCATTGCCTAACGAGGAATATGAGACATTTGTTTTTACTCTTATTAATAGGAAAGTATCTCTTTCATATAGTGAGGTCATCGCTACATTTGTGAATTATCAGCTTCGGAAGAAGGATAAGGAGACTTTGATTGATACTGTAGAGGGGGCATTGGTCGCAAGAGGAAAGAGTCCAAACCAAAGTAGGAAGTCACAGCCTAGAGGAGCACATCCTTCAGTTGGTAGGAATCAATGTGCCTTTTGTAAAGAATATGGATATTGGAAGTCTGAATGTCCAAAGTTAAAAGATCGAGTCGGGAAGAATAAGGGGAAAGCTATACAAGCTTCGGATGTGAATGTTGTTAAGGCTAGTGGCGACGATTCAAATTTAGATTCTTCAGACTATTCGTACCATATACTACCATCAGTTTGTGTTGCTGATTCTACGGAGTGGATGTTGGATTCGGGTGCTTCATACCACATTTGCCCTAGGAGGGATTGGTTCTCTAGCTTTGAGGTATTGGAAAGAGGGGATGTCGTGCTCATAGGTAATAATCATGAATGCCCTATTGGTGGTATTGGTACTGTTCGGATTAGGATATGTAACAGAGTGATTTGGGAGTTGAAGGAAGTGAGGTTCATTCCGCAGTTGAAGAAGAATATCATTTTATTTGGAGTTTTGAAGGCAGCAGACTATCGGGTGACTTTTAGATGATGCATCTTTGAAGGTTACATTGGGTCCATGATTGTGATGAAGGGCATCAGGAAGAATAATTTGTATTATTTGATTGGAAGCACAGTGACAGGTGGAGAGCTGACGACTTCTATTGATTTGGCTAGACTGTGGCGTTTGAGGCTAGGATATTCGAGTGTTGATTCCATGAATGGATTGGTGAGAGGTATCGTGACCTGTAGATTGAAGTCATGTGAACATGTTGGTGTGAGCAAGAAGACCGAGATGGAGTTTGACACTTCTATTCATCAAGCAAAGGCTCTTCTAGGTGGTGTTCACGTAGGCATTTGGGGGCCTTCCAAAGAGGCATCATTGGGAGGTAATAAGTATATGATTTCTTGTGTTGGAAACTGTTCTAGGTATTTGTGGGTTGCAACCAAGTCTCATTGGAGTGAAGTCCTAGTAGTCAACAACAGGTAGAAGAAGTGTATTAGCATAAGGGTAATACGTCGTTCTGATTTTGGTAGGGGTTTTTTCTATATTTGTGTCGAGCTCACGGCAGTTTAAGACACTTCATTGGAGAGGAAACATTGGGGCGATGAGATGAGGTACCAGATTTGATGAGTCGTTCCTTGCTGGAGGAGAATCGGTGTTTGATGTCGAACATTGGTTTGCAGAGTAGTTCTGGTGTTGAGGCTTCGACATATTAGAGCCATCTTATTCATAGGTTGTTGACTATTGCGATTAGTGTACTTGAATCTGGTGGAGCTATTTCAGATTTTGGGTTGCTTCGGATATTTGGATGCTCAGCATATTATCACACCCAGGATGTAAGATTTGATCCAAGTGCATATTTGGGATTCAGAGTCATGTTTAGTTATCAGGTATTTGACTCTGATATTGTTCTAAACAGGTATGTTACTTTTGACTCTCAGCAGGTGGAGAGTGTTGGACAAATCATTGGGATATCACAGCGGGTGGAGAGTGATGCTACTCTACGTTGGGTGGAGATTACTCCACGTACTCCAGATCATTTTGTATCATTTAGAATTCTAGCTGAGGTGACACAGATTAGGAATCATGTTGGTGTTGATACAGATGATGAGTTTGTTGATTCGAGTGCAGCTGATGGACACAGTTCGGATTTGGCTATGGCCGTTGGTTCACCTCAGGTGGATGTGTTTAGTTCGTTTCACTTTGAGGCCAGTGGGAGAGTTATCAGTTGCAGATTTGTTGGTGATGTTGGAGAATGGTTAAAAACTCTTCTCGTTGATTGAGGGCCTTTGTAGGCTATTTGGTGAACTACATGAAGGCTTGATTCTTTGGACAATATGATACGTAGGCAGTTATTTTATGATGCAGCCAGTTTGGTGAGTTGATATCGATATTTGGAGTTTGTTTGCATTCTCGTTTGGGTTCTCGACTTGTTGTGGATTGAGTCTGTTGTCGTGGATTGATTCCACTTCGTACTGGACGCAACAAGTGAGACGTTTGGTTGATATTTGTGTCGGCTCAGTTTTGGAAAAACTTCGCCGAGGTGGAAAATTGTAGAAACGACGAAAACATTGGAGAAGAACAGGATTTTTGGAACAGGCAGAGCTTTGGGTGCTTGTCGGTCGACCGCGAGCTTTGGGGCGGTCGACCGGAAACATGCTTGCTACAAGGTGGTTTTCTGGAGCTCTAGTCGGTCGACCGCGGCGTCAAGTACGATCAACCGCGGACCCTGTAATGCATTTTTTTGTTTCTGTCTTTCTGATCGGTCGACCGCGACGATTTCGACGGTCGACCGCCAGTCTGGTTTGGGCCTGATTGCGGTGTCCTGTTCTGTTTTGGGATTGCTGTTTGATATAAATAGCAACCATGTTTTAGGGTTTCTTTGGAGCAGTCAATGGTATGTTTTGAGCACAGAAAAGAGAGTTTTTTCTAAGCTATTGGTTAGGATTTTGTTTGAGAGATTGAGAGCTTTGTTTGTGAGATTAATTGGTGAGTTTGAATGATTTTATAATCTCAGTTTGTACTCTTCTTCTCTATTAGTAAAAACACATCCTCTTCTTGCCCCGTGGACGTAGCCAACTTGCCAAACCACGTAAAATTCGTTTGTTTACGTTCGTGCTGTTATTTTGGTCATGTGTGTCTTTCTCTCTCGGCATTTGTGTTTGTTCTCGGCACCCCTACGTTTGGCCGTCACGCACAACAAGTGGTATCAGAGCCCAACATCATCTGCCTATGTTCCTTCAACCTCCAGCCATCGTTCTCAACCGCATCTCATCCTGTTTGTTAGTTTGTTTGTTATTTTATTTATATTTTCCCCTCTTTTTGTTTGAAATCCTTAGCTTCGACTCTGGATACAATAAGCTGACTCACAAACCACAACCCCGTCCAAATAGTTTAATCGAGGGAGTGATTAGATAAAATACGAATAATTAACAAAGTGGTGAAGTGATAAAGTCTCTTCGTTTTGAACGTCAGCATCAGCTTCCCGCGCGATTCCGCAAAGTCGGCACCCTAGGATTCTTTTTTTTTATTATTATTCTTAATTGTCCTTCTCCCTGCATTTGTCGCCGGCAAAATCGAAACTACGATAAAAAAAATTAAAAAAAAACACGCCCACATACACTGTGCTGTAATTCCCCACTTATTACGAACAAAACAATATCCGGCGAGAAACAGATCAGAGTGAGGAAAAGAGGGGAAATGAATCCAGAATTTGATACATCTTTCATCCAGAACCCCGACAGTCGACCGAACCCAAACATTTCCGAGGCCGAATCAATCCCTCTCATCGACCTCTCTCCATTATTCACAACCCCCGTTAACTTAACACCCCTGATTTCAGAAATCGAGGCAGCTTGCAGTAATGTTGGGTTCTTCCAGGCCATCAACCATGGCGTACCGGCAGAACTCCTCCAGAGAGTTCAGTCGGCAGCAAAGGAGTTCTTCGCTCTGTCGACGGAGGAGAAGAGCAGAGTGAGGAGGAATGAGGAGAGATTTCTTGGGTATTACGATACGGAGAATACGAAGAACGTTAGGGATTGGAAGGAGGTGTTCGATTTTTGTGTGAATGATCCTATGACTGTTCCGACGTCGAGTGAAAGTGGGGAGACGGCGGTGCAGCAGATTAGGAACCAGTGGCCGGAGAATCCAGAGGGTATGAGGTAATTGCTTGCGGTCAACGAATGTTCGCAAATTAACTCTTCGAATCTACATATTTTGTTAATTTATCCTTCAATTCTACTCCATTGAGTTAAACTTGTTAAAATATAAAAAAATATATAAACATTAATCATCGTCATAACTTTAGAGTTTTGATGTAATGGTTAAGAGAATTCAATTTAAGATAGTTATCAAAACAACCTAAGTTCAAATATTAACGGCCATTTGGGTCCAAGTAGATTAGTTCATCTTGTTGATGGCTCTTTCAAACCCAACGCTAATTCTCTGCTGACTTTAATTTTTAGCTCTTGATAGTACGAAAGAATATGTAAATTCTTTTATCTAATCACCATTTTAGTTTCTCATGGTAGAAAATACTTTTCAAACTTTAGATGATCGGTTATCGGTTACATGAGGGACAGATTTATTCTTATTTCGGTTTGGCTCACTTTATATAGACTGATAAAACCCTCCGCAAGTTTGTGCCAAGAAACATGTTTTCCAACTTTTGAACTCTTTTTCGCATCCAAAATGCATGTTTCACCAATTCGTCTGAAAATTTAACAGCTCTTGTGAATTGAAATTCTTATTTCAACCATCTCTCATTTTAGCTCAATTGTTGGTCGATACTATCACTTCTGCAGAGATGCATGCATGGACTATGCAAAAGCCGTCGAAGGCCTATCATTCAGACTGCTCGAGCTCATCGCGATGACCTTGAACGCACCCGCCAAGCGACTGAACGGCTACTTCGAGGACTCCATCAGCAGAATCCGCCTCAACCATTACCCTCCGTGCCCGTCCCCTGACCTTGCCCTCGGCGTGGGACCGCACAAGGACCAAGGAGCTCTCACGGTCTTGGCGCAGGACGACGTTGGTGGCCTCGATGTCAAGAGGAAGTACGATGGCCAGTGGGTCCGCGTCAAGCCCGTTCCTAACTCGTACATCATCAACATAGGGGATCTCATCCAGGTAAAGTAGGATAACAATTTACAGAAGATTTCCCATGGGTCCGTAGCAATCATAATTATTAATAGGCATCAACTTATTTAATTAATTATTAGCACTTGTCGCTCAGGGTGTTGACATTTTGAGAAGGACAAATTGAGGGGTAGTAAGTCCTGATGGAGGAGTGTAAACAAGACGAGCGTCGTTGAAGGTGTTGGGAATTTAACGCTGAAACCCCTAATGCAACAGAAACGCAGTATAGAAAAAGTGCACCAAGTTTTAACGAGGTTCGGCAACTGCCTACGTCCTCAGGAGCCACACAGTAAATTTCTTATTAATCAAACAAGAAATTACAAATGAAGAGCAAATCTCAAAACTGAGATTTCTCAAATAAACACTGTAGCTACAGTGTTAATAATAACAGGGTATGAACCCTTTCAATTCCCACTTGAGAATAAATACCCCACAATTAAAACCCTCTTTAATTCTCTATTTCTCTCTCTTCTTTAATCCCCTCAAACACTGTTGAAGCTGGGATAAATCACAAAATCACACCAGCGATTTAGGGCAGCCGCCAGAGAGAAAAGTCGGAGGAGGGGGGGAGACTTCGGCAGCAACGAAACCCTAGGCGAGAGGGTTTATATAGGGAGAGAGGATGGGCTGGCAACAGCCTGTCGCCAGCGACCGCTTCGACGCCAACTTCGAGCCGAACGCAGAGTTGAGAGGGGGGTTCGAATGCAGAGGTTGAACGAACGCAGAGGCCGGCATCGCCCAAAAAACGCCGAGGTCAAGTTCGCACGCAGAGTTCGGGGTGGTTGCGTTCGTCGACTTCGCTTGCGTCATCTCCGCCATTCTCGAGCTCGTCGGAGCTCATCGGAGCTCCTCCGCCGTCGGAGGTTTGTTTCCACCCCCAATTCTAACAATCTCCCACTTGGAGACCAAACCGACGTCAACAGGCTATCTCATCAAGCTCCTCTCATGTGTGGCTCCGCCCTCATCATCTATGCATGAAGGCCAACTGAAGTTGCGCACAACTCCATTTTCTGAACTGTCACCGTCTTTGTTAACATGTCTGCTGGATTCTTACTTCCTGGAATCTTTTCCAGTTTCAACACGTCATCTTCCAACAGGGATCTGATGAAGTGGTACCGAAGCGCAATATGCTTCGTTCTAGAATGAAATGCTGAATTCTTCGCCAAGTGTATCGCACTCTGACTATCACTGTGCAAAACATTCTTCTCCTGTTTGAATCCCAGCTCTGTCAACAAACCCTGAAGCCATATCATCTCTTTACTGGCTTCAGTTACTGCAACATACTCAGCTTCTGTAGTGGATAGGGTAACGATCTTCTGTACCTGTGACATCCAACTAACAGCTGTACTTCCGACGGTGAATACATAGCCGGTGGTGCTTCTTCGGTGATCAACTTCACCTCCAAAGTCTGCATCTACGTACCCTTGCACTTCTACCTCTCCCTTACCAAAGTGCAAACACTTCTGTGTGGTGCCTCGTAGATATCTCAGAATCCACTTGACCGCTTCCCAATGAGCTTTTCCTGGATTCGACATAAACCGGCTGACCACTCCCACTGCATGGCCAATATCTGGTCTCGTACAGACCATTGCGTACATCAAACTTCCGATAGCTGAGGCGTAAGGTACCTGAGCCATACTCTCTTTCTCTTCTTCTGACTGAGGAGACTGATCCTTCGATAAACGAAAATGGCTGGCCAAGGGTGTGCTCACAGGCTTGGCATCGCCCATGTTGAATCTCTGCAAAACACGGTTGATGTACTCCGTCTGAGATAACTGCAAGAGACCTCTCTTCTTATCTCTCGTGATTTGCATTCCAAGGATCTTCTTCGCTGGACCCAAGTCCTTCATGTCAAACTCCTTTGACAGCTGCTGCTTCAAACTCTTGATATCTTTCATATCTGCTCCTGCAACCAACATATCATCAACATACAGCAGTAGGATGATATAGCTGGACTGATATCTTTTGAAGTAGCAACAGTGGTCGGCGTTGCACTTCTGGAAACCTTCCTTGTGCATAAAGCCGTCAAACTTTCTGTACCACTGCCTTGGGGCTTGTTTCAGGCCATACAAGCTCTTCTTGAGTCTGCACACCAGGTTCTTCTTCTTTTCTTCTGAGAAACCTTCTGGCTGGTGCATGTATATCTCCTCTTCTAGATCTCCGTGAAGAAACGCCGTCTTCACGTCTAACTGCTCGAGATGAAGATCTTCAATTGCTACAATACTCATCACGGTCCTGATAGTATTTAGCTTCACCACGGGAGCGAAAATATCGGTGTAGTCAATTCCTTCCTTCTGCTGGAAACCTTTGACAACCAATCGGGCTTTATATCTCCTGGAACCATCCTGCTCCTCTTTCACCCGGTACACCCATTTGTTGTGGAGTGCCTTCTTACCCGTGGGCAACTCAGCTAGTTCCCACGTCTGGTTTGATATGAGAGACTTCATCTCATCTTTCATTGCAAGCTCCCACTTGCTCGCATCTCCACACTGACAAGCTTCATCAAAGCTTTCAGGCTCCCCACCATCTGTCAACAACAGATAGTTCATGTATCTCCTGTTGGGTACAGGAGGACGAGAAGATCTTCTTAATATCGGAGCTGGTGCGTCGGGCTCCTGCGCACCATCTTGTCCAACAGGCTCTTCTTGCTGAGGACCCTCTGCATTGGGTTCTTCCGAGAGGTTACTCGGGACATCATCTGCATCTATAAATGTGGACTCGCTCTCTGAGTCGTCAGTCTTGTGCATGTCCTTGTACATCACCTTCTCGTTGAATATCACATCTCTGCTCCGGATCACCTTCTTGTTTTCGTTGTCCCAAATGCGGTAGCCGAACTCATCTTCACCATAGCCGATGAAAGTGCATTTCTTTGACTTGGGATCAAGCTTATTCCTGCCTTGATCACTAATATGCACGTAAGCTACACAACCGAAAACTTTAAGATGTGAGAGTTTTACCTCCTTTCCGCACCATACCTCCTCTGGTATTCTGTGCTCCAATGGAACCGATGGACCTCGGTTGATCAAGTAAGCTGCTGTGTTGACCGCTTCTGCCCAGAACTGCTTCGGTAGGCCTGATTGTACTCGAATGCTTCTGGCTCTCTCTGTCAACGTTCGGTTCATCCGCTCAGCTACACCATTTTGCTGAGGCGTGCCGGGCACGGTTCTCTCCATTCTGATCCCGTGCTCATAGCAGAACTTCTTGAATCCGGTGTCTTCATACTCACCGCCATTGTCGGTCCTGAGCTTCTTTATTCTCAGACCGGTCTCATTCTCGACCATAGCTTTCCATCTCCTGAAAGCCTCAAATACTTCTGACTTATGCTTCAGAAAGTAGACCCACACTTTCCGAGAGTGATCATCGATAAAAGTCACGAAGTAGTGTTTTCCACCAATGGACGCGGTGGTTGTTGGTCCCCACACATCTGAGTGAACGAGCTCTAGCTTCTGCTTCCTGGGGGTTCTGCCACTTGTCTGAAAGCTGACTCTCTTCTGCTTTCCAAGTATACATTCTTCACACATATCCATCTCCACTGACTGCAGTCCTGGGAGTTTTCCCTTTGTGTGCATAATCTTCATCCCCTTTTCACTCATATGACCGAGTCTCTGGTGCCACAGCTTTGAAGTCTCATTGCCTGCTGCAACTGAGATCAAACAACGTGCACCTGCTGTCATATACAGGGTACCAGTCTTCTTGCCTCGGGCAATCGTCATTGCGCCCTTTGAGATCTTCCAATCATCTCCATGGAAGGTCGTGGTATAACCTTCGCCAGCCAACTGGCCTACGGATATTAAATTCTTTCTCAGGTCGGGAATATGCCTGACATCCTTCAGCTCCCATACTGACCCGTTCAACTTAATTTTCACCACGCCTTTGCCCACAATAGCACACGGTTGATCATCACCAAGATATACGTATCCAAGTTTTCCGGGGGTATACTTCTCGAAGAATTCTTTCTGAGAAGTAGCGTGGAACGACGCTCCTGAATCTAACACCCAAGATTCCTCCTTGCTCTCCAAAGAGCATATCAATGCGTCGTCTCCTCCTGAAGTGGAGGTGACATTCACCTCTGCCTTCGCCTCCTTCTCCTTCTGTGCACTCTTGCACTGATTCTTGTAATGCCCGGTCTTTCCACAATTCCAACACTCGATAGCCTTCGAGCTGTTGCTTGGATTCCTTGATTTGGACCTCCTGTCCTTTGATCTACCTCTGTAGTTTGATTTTCCTCGTCCGTTTCCTCTGGTTGAATTTCTACCTCTTGACTCTGTATCGGTTGAACTTCTACCTCTTGACTCTGTATGCAATACTGAAGAGGTTGTAGCTTCACCCGTTTCTCTCCGTCGGATCTCCTCACTGAGAACCAAATCACGAACGTCGTCGAACTTCAACTTTTTCTTTCCCGATGAGCTACTCACTGCCGTGACTGTAGCGTTCCAACTCTCTGGTAGGGAAGACAAAAGTATTAACGTCCGGACTTCATCATCAAACTCAATCTCAACAGAACTCAATTGGGTTGTAACCGTATTAAGTTCATTGAGGTGTTGTGCTACTGACGCGCCTTCCGCCATTTTCAGATTGAATAACCGTCGCATCAAATGAACTTTGTTCGCGGCTGATGGCTTCTCATACATATTTGAGAGTGCTGCCATAAGACCCGCCGTGGTCTTCCCCTTCGCTATGTTGAACGCAACATTGCGAGTCAACGTCAATCTGATAACTCCGAGGGCTTGTCTATCTAGAAGGTTCCACTCTTCTTCCTTCATAGAATCTGGCTTCTTCCCCGATAGTGGTTGATACAGATTTTTCTGATACAGATAATCCTCTATCTGCATTTTCCAGAATCCAAAATCTGATCCATCAAATTTCTCAAGTCTTATTTTCCCTTCATCTGCGGCCATGGCTCCCACTTGAATCTGACTTCCTCTAGATCGTTTCACGCTCTGATACCAGTTGTTGGGAATTTAACGCTGAAACCCCTAATGCAACAGAAACGCAGTATAGAAAAAGTGCACCAAGTTTTAACGAGGTTCGGCAACTGCCTACGTCCTCGGGAGCCACACAGTAAATTTCTTATTAATCAAACAAGAAATTACAAATGAAGAGCAAATCTCAAAACTGGGATTTCTCAAATAAACACTGTAGCTACAGTGTTAATAATAACAGGGTATGAACCCTTTCAATTCCCACTTGAGAATAAATACCCCACAATTAAAACCCTCTTTAATTCTCTATTTCTCTCTCTTCTTTAATCCCCTCAAACACTGTTGAAGCTGGGATAAATCACAAAATCGCAGCAGAGGGGGAAGGCTCAGCATCTTCAAAACCCTAGCCTGGGGAGGGGGTTTTATAGGGAGAGGGGATGGGCTGGCGACAGCCTGTCGCCAGCGACCGCTTCGACGCCAACTTCGAGCCGAACGCAGAGTTGAGAGGGGGGGTTCGAACGCAGAGGTTGAACGAACGCAGAGGTCGGCATCGCCCAAAAAACGCCGAGGTCGAGTTCGCACGCAGAGTTCGGGGTGGTTACGTTCGTCGACTTCGCTTGCGTCATCTCCGCCATTCTCGAGCTCGTCGGAGCTCATCGGAGCTCCTCCGTCGTCGGAGGTTTGTTTCCACCCCCAATTCTAACAGAAGGAAGGTACAGATGAGGGGGTTATTTGCAAACAGTGTTCCAAAAACAACACCAGTTCCGGTCCCTTTATTTTCAGTTTCTAATTTAATAATTATCACATGATAAAATGTCAATTTTGATTAGTAATCAAATAAAGATTTATATAAGAACGCATATGGTCACAGGTAATTACGGGTTACTATCACCAAATTGAGCTTACTAACCATATAGTTCTATTGTTGCCAGATAGACCCCTATAGATGAGTGAACAATTTTTTTTCCCCTTCTCAGGAGGTCTATCTGTGACAATAGAACTACTGGGGTAGAAGTTAAATTTGGCAACAGTATATGGGGTCCATCCGAAATTAAGCCTTGTTGAGACTTTCAAAGGATTTTCTTGAAATCTGTAAATCTTAGAGAGGTTTTCCGTAATCACCCCAAAAAAAAACCAATTTAACCTTAAACACTTGGTATTTCTGATCGAACTCAATTCATGCAGGTTTGGAGCAACGACAAGTACGAGAGCACGGAGCACAGGGTATCAGTGAACTCAGAGAAGGAGAGGTTTTCGATCCCGTTCTTCTTATATCCTGCGCACTACACAGTGATCAGGCCTGTAGAGGAGCTTGTGAGTGAGGATAATCCTGCTAAATACAATGAGTTCAACTGGGGCCATTTCTTCCGGTCACGAATGAGCAGCAATTTTCAAAAGCTGGGAGTAGAAAATCAGCAGATATATCATTTTAGGAAGAAAACCTAAAAGTCCTATTAACAGTTACTGTTTGTAGGTGCTTGTGTGAGTCGTACGCCGAATAAAGATGTGTGTGGAACGAGAACATATTCTCTTTTCCTTCTTTTTTTTTTTGGACAAAAAGGAAAAACTTTGGCAAGGCAACAGAACCCTAAAGCCAAAGTCCGAGTTCGTTTGGTATGCAGGAACGGGGTCAAATGAGAATGGAATGAAGCTACGAATAGAATGGAATTAATGTGAGAATTGAATGCTCATTCATATTCTCGAGTTTGGGTGCGATTACATAATTAAGTGGGAATGTCTTTAAGAATGGTATATCCAAATTTTATTTAATTATTTTCATTCTCACTTAAATGGGAATAATCAGTTAAATGGGAATATCAATTCCTTGTTAGCTCATTGGAAATACCAACTCTCGCATTAAGTGGAAATTAATGAGAAGTGAAAATAACATTTCAAGGATTCAAAAACATATCATGTTTGATAAGCATGAATGAGAACTTAGAAATGCATCACTCATTCCCACGTACCAAACAATGCATGAGTGTATGTGTCCTTCCTTCCATTCCTACACTCCAGTTTAGATAGATGGGATCGGACCAAGTAACTGGTGGTGTTGGCAGTATTACCACTGCATTCTCAGACTACCCTGTGCTTTATGTGGGTTTTTGTGTTGTTAGTGTTTGGTGTTTTTGATTTTAGTCAAGTATTCCTTGTACCAATTTCTTTTTTGCCTTGCTAAAGCAATTTTACTTTGCTGCATCAAGCGGCATCAAGTGGTGGGGGAGGGGGGTGGCATTTGGATATTCTCTACTATGAAGATGATGTTGAAAACTAAACTTAACTAGTTATTATCATAGCTAAAAGATGACCTGATCCTCACAGTATCTTTCTCCCGGTAAAATATGGCATCCTAATTTATAGCATTAGTGTTGGAAAATTTCTATCTCCCCGCCTACTACGATTTGCGCAACTCGGAAGCTAACACACAATCAACAAGATAGAAAATAACCACAATCAAGAAGAAAGAATACCGAGGTTTACGTGGTTCGGTCAACCAACTTCAACCTACTTTCATGGGAAACAATACGAGAAATCCACTATGTATCAGGGAGAACAACAAGAGGAACCACTCAACTCTTGTCTCTCAATCTCTCAACCTCGTATACATAATCAACTCTCATATTATCTCAAAAGCTCTCTCCTTACAATCTTTTGAATGGACAAACACTGTGAAACCCTCTCCCAATAATGTAATCTTTTTGCACAGATAAAGACTACGAAACACTCGCCTCTCGCACAATATTCCTAAATCAGACTACGCCCTCTAATAACCATAGATTACAAGAATATTGGCTCTCTCTCCTCTGTTTGATTTTTCCTCCAACAATAGAAGAATATATATAGGGAAATCAAAACCTTATCTCCAGCCTAACTTCCTAATTAAAATAGGATTCAAACTCCTAATCATGATGAAACTCAACCTCCTAATCATGATAGATCTCTAACCATATCTAATTCTCATGAAGCTATACAAAGAATCAAAGACACAATCCTAACAATTAGGACCTGTTTGTTTCATTTCCAAGTTTTAGAAGAATAGAATTTCAATGAATAAAGTATGAATCCACAACTTCCAGCAATGTACACCACTTCTAATATATTGTATGAATCCAACTTCTTTCATGAAAACAACCACATAGACAACTGAAAAACTAGAAAATAAAAGTTATCACTTAAAACTAAAAATATCACCATCAGTGTGTATAAAGAATAGCCAGTTTACAGTGTAAATCTAAAAAATCATATCCAGTCTCAAAAAAGAACTGAAAATCTTAAGCGTTTTTCACAATTCACTGTAATTTAAGAAATAAGTAATCAGTAAGTGATTTACTCACAATATACAAGTATCTTTAAACTATAAAAAATGATAATAGTTACAAATATGAAAGTTTAAAACTTTAATTTGAAAATTTGCACAGATATAGGTCTCTTAAACCATAAAAAGCCTCGTCTAAACATTAGTAAAACCAATAAGCTGCTAATCTCAGCACTTCATACAAAATGATATTTCATTGGAAGGTCTACGCCATCATAGATAGCCTCGCCAATATAGTAGTACTAATGTAGGCTGCTTATCTCAATATATCGACCAATCATCATTGCTTAAAATGTTAAAAAGAAAAGAAACCATACCATTAGACTATAGAATTAATGTATAGGGTATTGTCTGATCCATCAAAAAAAGCATCAATATTGTTCCCACTAAGTATCCTGAAGAACAATATTAGAATCAATTAACATTGTCAAGCAAACTATTTTCACTAAACATTACGGCATCCAAGCATAAGAAAATTTTAAATAGTGACAGACTTAACAATACTATCCCATATAAAAATAGGAGCAATGTATGTGACTATCTTTACGCCATGAAGTAAAAGCACACACCAACACAATACATCATCATGTTTTGGCAACCAACGCATGTCAGGCACCCCTCTTGAATTGACATGAGACTTAGCAGATTGAGACATTGGTCTTTTACCCACTACCTTATTTGACCTCTTTCTTGGTCTTGGCTCGTCAAGATCCTCAAAGTCAGAAACACCTTTGTCTACATTAGGAGATATAGGATTACCACCTAAAGGTGAGCTCTGGTTGGGTGCAAGTAAGGGAGGGATATTGTTAAGCATAGACATGTAAGATGGAAGAGGCGGTGGTATGAAATTAAAGCTGGGATCAAGCCCATGAACACCATTATATATTCTTGACCAGATGAGATATATGGTGTGAAGCCCACATCAAAAGCATTTGTTGGCTTTGATGCATATGGAGATTCATATACAGTCTTTTCCCATTGTTCTTACTACTTTCAACCATACCTACATAATCAAATTCGTTTGAAACCAATATCAATAAGTGTGCATAATTTTACATAAATCATAAATTTAGAAATAATTGCATAAGTTTACACAACATTTAAAAAAAACCTACAACTATTACACGATGAGTCACAAGTGTGAAAGCTTGAACATCACTACATAAATTTAGTCGTCAAACATAAACTATTAATTAGAAAAGTTTGCATTCAAAGGATAAATACTCAAGCATATATCAAGATCAATTCTCTGTTGCGTCACCCTCACGATGTCGTGCACAATAATCCACCCACATAACCCAAGCTATTTGGTCCCTATGATTCTTCCACTCATTTCTCGTTTCAGTTTGTTCTCTTTGTGTCATTGTTCGTGAGTAGTCAACAATGCCATCAACATCCTCATCTACTATTTCACCATCATCATCTTCTTCATCAACATTAGCATGTAGAAAGTCATTAGTGGGATCAACTATTGCTATAAAGTTATGGAGAATAGCACAAGCTAATACAATGTCAACCTGTATAGGAAAAGGGTAATGTGATTTTGCAGAAAGTATCTTGAACCTATTCTTCAATAATCCAAAGGTAGCTTCAATTTTTGACTTAAGTTTGGAATGACGCAAAATAAATAATTCTTTCCTATTAATCGGTGTTTCCCCCACATGTTCTTTGAGATGATATCGTACACCAAGATATGGAGAGATGAACCATAGCATTATTGTATATCCCGCATCACAAAGATAGTATTTTCCTACACATGTATTACATATAAGCGTGTCAGTGTAATGTTCCATATTCTATAAAATTTCTTAATTAAGTTATAATTGTATTATCATCGTATACCCTCAAACCACAGGGTTGTGGTCTCGATAAAGCATCTTGAAGGATTCTAAAATCATTAGCGGACCCCTCCCATCCAACTAAAACGTATGTGAATAACTTGTTAGGAGTGCAAGCTGCAAGAACATTTTTCTTAAGTCCTTTTTGACCTCTAAAATGTGCTACGAGATTAGCTGGAAGCATTGAATCTACATGTGTACCATCTATCATATCAAAACAATCTTATACAAATTAAAAGAGAATCACAATACATTATCACCTAACCATTAAAAACTACTTCATTATGATTAAGGATATGAAGAATTACCTTGAAATAGAGGGGAAATGAAGGATTGTTCGTAATTTCAATAGGCATTTCATTTGGTGCTTGCATCAAATAACTGTCACGTAAATAAATCATGGCTTCCAACACATTGTTGAAGTATTTACTAATAGTTTCCCATGATCTAATGAAGTTATATCGTATATTTTTGTTTAGGTCAGAAATTGTTGTATTCATTGTCATCGAATCTATTACAACTTTAGTCGTTACAATAAACTCAAATAAATAAAAGTTGATCTTTTTATAAGATCTTCTTATACAATGAAAATAAAAAGATTACAATTCATTCAAACAACACACAACAGTTTATCTCCTGTTGTTTGCGTGAGAACTTTGCCTGTGCCGGGGACGCGTTTGTCCATGGACCGTCGCGGATCAGATCCGGTTGACAGAAAAGCTATTCAAAGCTCTTACTTCACAAAGGAAGTAATCGTAGAAGTGATAATCTCGACCAAGCGAGATTACGACTCTTCTCAAGATCAAAACCAAGTTTGATCCGAAGGAAAGGGGTGGTACGGGTCTCAGATCTCTCGAAATCCACTCTTTATGCACAGAAAATCACCAAGATCTGAGACCCGTACCCCCTTTCCTTCGGATCAAACTTGGTTTTGATCTCGAGAAGAGTCGTAATCTCGCTTGGTCGAGATTATCACTTCTACGATTACTTCCTTTGTGAAGTAAGAGCTTTGAATAGCTTTTCTGTCAACCGAATCTGATCCGCGACGGTCCACGGACTAACGCATCCCCGACACAGGCAAAGTTTCCACGCAAGCAACAGGAGATAAACTAATGTTGTGTGTTGTTTGCAGGAATTGTAATCTTTATATTTTCATTGTGTAAGAAGATCTTATAAAAAGATTAACTTTTTATTTATTTGAGTTTATTATAACGACTAAAGTTATAATAGATTCGATGATAATAAAAATAATAATTTCTGACCCAAACAAACTGGCGACCACGGTGGGAACCAACAGTCTCGCTACAGAGACTGTCGTGTCGCTACCTCAGATTCACATCCCGGTTGAAGAAGAGGTCGAATAT